AATTTATCAGAAAGATTCTAGACTTTTGTGACTAAGTAGCAGGGATGGCAAAGAATGAAGAATGTGGACAAAGACCAAGGCGATGAGAACCTAGAAGATATTACTTCCTTGTCATGTCTTCTTAGAAGCAGAAATATCGATCCTACACATATTGCCTGAAATTTCCTCTCTTTGATAATGATATAGGAACCAACAGGTGAACTCTATCAACTTTGCATTTTGATATATTTTTGAGGAAGACTTTTGGTAAAGAGGCACTTCTCAAACAATGAAAACATGCTGCTGGAGCAGAAAGAAAAGAACCAAAAAAAGATATTCATGTCTAATAGCTAATTTTGTGACATGGTAAGAAGAAAAAGACATATGATATAGGGAAGAAGGTCTTCTGGATAACATTACTGTTACATTAAGATAAATCTTAATAGGAAGTTACTTTAAAGGAACTTTTGGAATTAGATCTTCGTGTATGGTCTTTGAATCTATACAAAGAGCTGTTTGAAAAAGTTGGTAAGTGCATCAAGACACTTCTGTTTTACTTGGAGATTCTTGATACAGTGTTATGCTGTGGATGATAAGTGGCATTGTGGTATCCGAAACAAAATTAGAATAATTTCAAATTCTAGAGACAGCTTCAATCTTGTAAGTTAAAACCTCTGAGAGTTAAAATATTTTACCCATCCTTTACAAGATTAACAAACCCCAAAATTAAACCAAAATGAAAACTAAAACCACAAAAAACCCCCACACTGTCACAAGAACAATTCTGTTATTTATGAAATGGACTTGGTATTGAGGGTGTGAAACTTGTAATATCAGTGAAGTGAGAGCATGGGAGAGGGCACTGCAGCTTCCTGAAGTAGAAGTTTCATTTATGGTAGGAGTTAAATGTTATATTCTTAACTGTTTAGGATTAATTATTTGTATCAGATTATAAAGAGCAGCAAGATACAGAATACTCCAGATTTGGCCCATGAGTATGTTCTCCATGTAGAGAAGCCTCCAGTTCTCCAATACCTAACTGAGACCCTTACCAATTTTGAAAAGTTGGTTGACCATATGTTAAATTTCTACATATGCCCAAAATTGTTCACGCTACTTTTTACTTCTGGGTTCCTGTAGAAACAAATAGAGAAGCAAAAAATGGAGAAAAAAGGTGGAGAAAAAGAGACAATTTTGGCAGCAGATCTTTCATAGGTCTTACCTCTCAACTTGATGTGGCCATCTCAAAACCCTTCAGTGGCTCAAATGGCTCAAATACGAGCAGCTTAACTGTGCTGTAAGTATCTGACTTTAGAGGAGACTCCATTGACTTTATTGTCTACATCACGATTGACTTAAGTGGGAGACAATGTACCTTCAAGGTGGGCCCCTTCATGTAGCTTCCATGACAAGTGTCTCTAAAGTTTCATCTCTAGGTCATGTGTCAAAACTGCATCTAGATACTTACAGTCAGATATGTTGATTTCTAGCAGAACCCTGCAGTTTCATCCCCACAGTTACTTTTAGCAAACCAAAGCAACTCAGATTTAATTTATTTACTTGTTTATTTACTTGTTTATTGGGATACAATGCGCCTATTTACAGTACAAGCCAACACTAGATTCTCTAGAGATATGTTCCACAAGTGGGATTGTGTCTTGGGACACAATCAAAACTGGTCAAACAAGTTTTAGGAAGAATACAAGACAGTGAACAGTACCCTAGGTGATTCTTATGATAGGTGATTTCTAGGGTTGGTGATTTCTAGAGAGGCTCTGCAGAGGGATCTGGACAAGCTTGATCGATAGACTGAGGCTGATTGTATGAGTTTCAATAAGGTCAGGTCCTGCACTTGGGCCACAGAGTATTTAATTCATTATTAGTAACATTCCAATTTAGTATTGTAGCTAGTTTTAATAAAGAAAAAAAATCGCTATAGACTATATTATTGACTGTGGAATTGTGAAGCAAGGATGTAAAAAATGAATGAAGGTGTTATTAATTTGTTTTCCATTTCTGTTTAACCCTGTTTTTTGTTAGGGTTAATCAGTATTTTGCAAATTCATTTATAAAGCCACTATATATAGTTTTCTCAAAGACTTTGTCTATGGTGTCATATTATATGTGAATAAAACTCATTATGTTTTGTTTGTGCAGTAATTCTATTTTGTTGTCCTGTGCATTCCTTTTGCACTCTCCATCTCATAATACGTGCTGTAAAAGCACACATAAATAAATAGGATAAACAAATTAAGCTGTTTAAATAAATTAATTTACTCTGCAGCTCTGTATTCAAATCCTATATGCTCACTGGATTTCATTTTAATGAAACCCTTCTAAGAACAATACATTGTTTGCCGAACAGTGAAATTATATATTAAATGAATGATTAAATATACAGTATTCCAATTTATACCAAATCTGTACACTGTGCATGCTTAAATCCCCCTAAATCTAAAGAAATAAATCTAAATTCTGAAAAACATCTGCATTATAATCCTCCTCTTGAATACTGAGTTCATGAACATAGAAACATAATCAAAGTCATAATAAGCCTAGAGCTATGATGCAGTTAAACTGTCCTTATCAATGTTTTTGACTTAAAAACCAGAGAATATTAAAGTGGAATCCACTTAAATGTCTTGAAGCATTGCTCTGAAAGATCTTCTCCGACTCTCTTGATGGGCCAATTGAATCCCTTTGCAATCAGAGTCTCAAGTTTGGCAAATATTTTATATGAAGCTTATCTGGAACAAATCTATTGATTACTATAGATGGTCACGTTGCTAAATTTCATAGGAATGAATTCAGAGAAATAGATATTCATCTAGCTCCTATGAATGAAGAATAACAACTGCTACATAAGCAGTTTGCTCTGTGAGAAATGTGATGCTCTTTTCAGGAAATCTTTCAGGCATTTTCAGCAGCAAATTGGATCTAGATGATCTTTAATATCCCTTCCAGCCCTAACCATTCTATGATTCTATGATATGTGTTATTAAACACATACTAATTGTGTGATTTCATTACTGAAATCCTGTAGTGACTTGAATGTACACAGTTGTTTGTTGGTTTTGGTTTGCAGGTGTTCGTTTTTTCCTTAGGGGTCAGGATTTCAGTTATCAAAAGGACAGGGAACTGCTTGAAAAAGTCCAGCACAGGGCCACGAAGATGATTAAGGAAGGTGGAACATCTCCCTTATGAGGAAAGGCTGAGGGAGCTGGGTCTCTTTAGCTTGAAGAAGAGACTGAAGGGTAACCACAGTCATGTTTATAAATATGTAAAGGGCAAGTGTCAGAAGGACAGAGTCATGCTCTTCTCAGTGATGTCCAGTGATAGGACAAGAGGCAACGGGTGCAAGCTGGAGCATAGGAGGTTCCACATAAATATAAGGAAAAACTTTCTCACTGTGAAGGTAACAGGACACTGGAACAGGCTGCCCAGAGAGGTTGTGGAGTCTCCTTCTCTGGAGACATTCAAAACCCATCTGGGCATGCTCATGTGGGACCTACTCTAGGTGATCCTGCTCTGTCCCCCCCCATAGATTTCCCTTGTAGAAACTATTTCTATTTATCGCTATTTGATCAAAGCAACCTAACTCACATCTATTTTAGCAATGGCATAGAGTCTTGGGTGCTATTAGCAATAGAGGAAACTGCAGGGAAAGACAGAAATTTTTAGGAAGGACTGTTTTCGTTTTTTCCTTAGGGGTCAGGATTTCAGTTATCAAAAGGACAGGGAACTGCTTGAAAAAGTCCAGCACAGGGCCACGAAGATGATTAAGGAAGGTGGAACATCTCCCTTATGAGGAAAGGCTGAGGGAGCTGGGTCTCTTTAGCTTGAAGAAGAGACTGAAGGGTAACCACAGTCATGTTTATAAATATGTAAAGGGCAAGTGTCAGAAGGACAGAGTCATGCTCTTCTCAGTGATGTCCAGTGATAGGACAAGAGGCAACGGGTGCAAGCTGGAGCATAGGAGGTTCCACATAAATATAAGGAAAAACTTTCTCACTGTGAAGGTAACAGGACACTGGAACAGGCTGCCCAGAGAGGTTGTGGAGTCTCCTTCTCTGGAGACATTCAAAACCCATCTGGGCATGCTCATGTGGGACCTACTCTAGGTGATCCTGCTCTGTCGAGGGGGGTGGACTAGATGATCTTTCGAGGTCCCTTCCAACCCCTACTGCCATAGTTTAAAATTTGCAGTCCCCCCCCCATAGATTTCCCTTGTAGAAACTATTTCTATTTATCGCTATTTGATCAAAGCAACCTAACTCACATCTATTTTAGCAATGGCATAGAGTCTTGGGTGCTATTAGCAATAGAGGAAACTGCAGGGAAAGACAGAAATTTTTAGGAAGGACTGTTTCTCACTCAGCTCCCTTGTTTTTCTTTTATTATTGCTGTCAAAGTTCTGTTTAAGTATGAGATATGTCTACCTGCTACATACTGACTGTTTTCATATAACAGAAGTGCAGTTGAAATCATCACAGTCCTCATGCCCTCATTTTCAAAGTCAAGGAACATCTTCAGGTGCATTGTAGCTCCTCCTGGCTACCATGCCAAGCTTTCCCTTGGATATAAGAATCTGGGTAGGTGTTTCTTCCTATTTTGAAGAAGTGATATGTCCAAAGATGAAAAACACTCTTAGAAAAAATAATTCCTCATCCTGGAAGGCTAAGGTCTACAAACAAGTATTTCTAATTCAACAGCATGCCAATAGAAATGAGGGAGGAAAAAGCCCCAAAGCAAAACAAAATCGTTATTTTTATAAGGAGTCCAGAAGGCACTTTAAAAGCATGACATGATGAGCAGTGCTCACGTTGCATCCTAAAATGTAAGCTCTAATGTCCTAAAATTGCCAAGATTCCTTTGAGAATACTCTGCAAATCCTGAACACCTCAAGAGAAGAAAGAATAGGCCCTGATTTAGGAGGGAGATACATTCTTTTAAAGTAATGTTTGGAAACAGAGGTTTAGTTTAACATTGCCTTTTTTGCAATTATTTTTTGTGGGATCTAGGAACGTGTTCCAGACAGCCCTTCTCCTGCTCCTTCTCTTGAAGAGGGCCGAAGACCTGGCAGCCATCCATCCTCTCATCGAAGCAGCAGTGTGTCCAGCTCTCCTGCACGGACCGAGAGCTCTTCAGACAGAATCCGTAGGTCACATTCTTCTCCTTGTCACCACTTTAAATTTGATTAGGTGCAGCTGGTTTTTCTAATCAAAATGCCCTCGTCTTAAATAGATCTCATATGTATCATGTTTGGAAGTTCAGCTGCAATAACTATCTTCCGACATTATGTTCCCCAGTTTACAATATCATAATATCTGATGCTACATTAACAGGTACTGATATAAACTGCCATCATGTCATATTAAACATAAAGATATGAGCTATGAAATGCAGAATTGCAGCCGGGAAGCAATTTGCTAGATTAGTTTTAGAACTGAACATATAGTCTAAACATTTGTAAAAGAAATTGAGTTTTATTTAATCTGGTTACTCTGGTTTGATTTCTAAATTGAATCTGACTTCATAAGTGACATTTTACATGGTAGAATTGCTTGGCAAAGAGAAGAATTATGTTAAATCAATTAAAATGTAGGCACACGTGATAAATTTTCTAAATTTAGAAATTGGTAATAGTGAGAAATATGATGCTGAGAGTATTATCACCTCATAGCTCACAAGGGGCAGAGTGAAATTAAACCATTGTTTCTCTGAGTCATACTGTTTTTATCAAGGCGTGTACAGGATGGAAGTTACATGGCAAAGATCTTGAATGCTATGATATTCCAGTGCAACAGCCTGGAAATTGAGGTTTTAAACATGTAATATTTTATGGATTTTTACTTCATGTTTCACTTGTCCATTTCTTTTATTATTGCACATTGTAAGTTTTTATGGTTTTAAGACATTTTTCCACATTGGAATTTGTCAATAGGTAAAACTGTAGGGTTTGGCATGCAGTAGGAGGCCATGAAGTAGCTATGTGAACTATGTAGTTGACTTGATTAGATGCAGCACGTGTCTTTTAGACTGCTTCCTTTCAGGCTCTCTGCAGACTCAGGAAGCTGACTCTTCATTGACCATCAAATGGAAGATCTTTCATTACTATGTGATGAAAAATGACTTACCAAAGAAAATAAGTGAGGCCTGACCATGACAAGCTGAATATTCTGTTTTCTTATCACTCAGATGATTCAGAGTGCAGATTAAACTGGCATCCCATATACTGTGACCTATCTATTTCACCAGGTTTTTATGAGTTCATAAGTAAAGCTCAGGAAAAAAAACCTTAACAACCCCGGATTTTTAGTTTATTTTAAAAAATTGATCTAATTACAACCCTTTTCCATTTTTCTCAAAATAAGTAATTCAAATGGAGAGAGACTTACTGCTTTTATTCAGGAATGACACTTTTTTAAAAATAAATGGCAGAATTCATCTTACTTGCCAGCAGAAATAAGTAGGACCTTTGCACATTGTTTCTTCCAATGTGAACATAACAGAGTTCCTTAAATACTGGATCTCTTCAGTAACTTGTCACACCTGATTCTTAATTACATCTGCTTTTATGGTGCCTGCAAGAGTAAGATGACTCCTACAGAAATATGGGTTACATATAAAAAAATGCTTTACTGAGAATGGGCTAAGCTTCTTGCAAATAATTTTTTTTTAGGATACAATCTTATATAGGTTCTGAGGTATGTTTGAAACTCATGAAGGTCTGATTGAGAACTGTTTGAAAGAGCTTTTCAATCTATCTGATGAGAAAATAAGCAATTCTTCTGTTGCACAGTATATTTTGAAAAACAGTGTTTATCACCTGGAAAACCACAGTGCTTAATTTGAAGGAAGTTAGGGACTGCATACTGGGAATGCTAATATAGAAGAGATTTTGTACAGCTAACTAAAAATAAATAAATCAGTAAGTATCTCCTTTGCTTGTTTGCTTCATTTTACATTTCAGTTTTTCTTCTTAAATAAACAAGAAAAGATTTGCAAATATCCAACTTTGTACAAAGATACTGAACTCTCATTTTAAAAATTAATAATTTTAAACCAGAAGAAGCTGTCCCACTCTGTGGATACTGATAGCACAAGCAACTTTGTGACTGTTAGAGTTCTTGTATAATTAAGAGGAAAACCATATCAAATAAGTACAAAAGTGTATTGTTAATATGACAGCTGATTTTCTTTCTGCCTGTGCTTGTGTCTAGCAGCTGTCCATCAGAATGGGCTATCTGTGAACCAAATGCTGATGGGTTTGTCACCTAATGTCCTGCCTGGACCTAAGGAGGGTGATCTGGCTGGTCATGACGTGGGACATGAGACAAAAAGAATACACATTGAGAAAGGTAATATGAATATTATGATTCTGCTGTTTCAGCATAAAACAAGTGCTGCCTCAACAGCTAAATGATATCATAACTGTGATTTTTATTTTTTTTAGTGGAGATTTTTTATTTCTTATTGTTGGACAAATTAAATTGTAACAGGATGGTAGCTTTCATGGTTCTTCTAGTTTGTGGTCCTTGAGATTGATGAACAATACTAATATGAGGGAGGAATTTCATATATATTACAAAGAAGGAAGAGTGAAAAACAGTTTTACATTACTGTTGTGTGTCTGACCCTTCCACTACACTGTTTAGGTATTAAGTTTCTGTCTCCATCCAGTTGACTTTAATGACCTACTTCCCAAAGGGACTGAGCACCATGAAAATTAGTCTATGTGTGCAAAAAGGAAAAAGGCTAATACCAAGCCATTAAATTAGGGAATTGCATAAAATGAGGCTGGTACACATTATATAATGGGATTTAAATTTAATTGAGTATATGACCAAAGTGTTTGATCTAGGTGAATAGCCCACATGCACTTATGCTGATTATGACACCATTTCATCTCTGTTGGTATTGAAAGCGAAGTTCCTGTTCAGGGTTCTTACAGGGGATTTTGGAGGGGTAGTGGTAGAATTTAAAAAGGTGCATTTCATGTTGTATTCACTTAAAATATGTGAATGTTTAGTATTATAGGCTAGAAACCTTTTGGTTAAAAAGAGGTTAGAAATATGACAAATCTTTGAAAAAAATATTCTTGGAGCTTATCAGAAAAATCAGTTCTTTGAGCACAATGAGAGCAAAAGTAAATGGTATAATAGCCAGACATTGAAACAGAGCCAGAGAAATGGCTACAGTAATTAAGTTTTCAGGGTAAGACATTTTGTTCCATACTTTAATAGTTGTAAGATGATACCTTCTCTGTCTTGTGTTTGAACACTGAAATATGAAAAAGAATTAAAATCTGGATAATTCTATTCTGGACAGGTGGCATTTTTAATAGGATTACCAGAAAAATTAATGGAAACAACATTTCTTTTATATAAACCATTTAGTGTGGTTCATTGCACACACAACCTGTTTTAGCTTATACTGTGCCCTCACTCAGCCCCTGCAAATTGTATCCCTGCTGTGAAGTATGATGTGATCAAATAGGTTTGTTTTGAATTTCCATAAATGATTTTATTTCAGCCTTTGAAGTTGCTCATTTAAGTGTAATCAGACTGGTAAATCCTATGAAGAAAAGTAGATACTAAGAATTGCTACTATTTTGCATCTCATTCAGGTTTTTTAAAGGCTTTGTTTTACAATGCTACCCCAAAAGTCTTTTCCAATCTGTTGCCATTTCACATTTCACAAGGTTTTGGGTTTTTTTCACAATATTTGTTCTTAGTAAAACTGCTGAGAATTCTGTTTTTTCCTCAGTCCTTGTTTAGGTCAAACCTTCTATTTTTTTCTTCTTTTCCCCCTCTCTGTTCCAGCCTACTGAATTAATGGTAAATATTCATGGGCTATCTAGATTGATAGGGTATACTAAATTAAAAATCGGTTTCTGTCATGACTGCATTTATCATGTCTCTCATACCAGTCTTGTAACTTTAATACTAATCTAATCTGTATTAAAACAAGTGATTTAACTTATAGATATTTGTGGAGATAGTAATTATCTACTTCTTTCACTGTGAGCTTGCAATCAGATTTCAAAACTGTTGCTTACCACTGCAGATCAGTCAGAATGCAATCACATTTGAAAATGCAAAAAATGTGTAAGCAGTGGTGGTTTTCTTACTCTTGAAACCCCGTAAGTTTCATCATCTGATTCAAACGAAAGAGAGGAAAATGGAACTTCTGAATAAGTATCATGAAGCATTTAAACATTATTGTTTGGTTATTTTTTTTTCTTTTAAGTCACTTTTGTTGGCAGAAAGCATATTAATATGGCTTTTAACTGAATCTGGGAAAACCTGAAAAATTCTACCTGGTAAAGAAGGGCCTGTCTTTTGTCTTCTTATCCCCTCTTCCTTTAAAAAAAAAAACAAACAACAAAAAAACCCAAAAGCCTCTGAAGTGATCTGAGCTCAGGGATAATTCAAATGAGGAAAGTTATAACAGGGACAACTGATCAACATACTAGATTTTCAGAAGACTTGGCATTTGTCAGAGACGTGAATCATTTGTCTAATCTGATCTATGACTTAGATATAGGATAGGAAATAGCACTTATCTGTTATAATACCAAAGGAGCTAATTCACCCAGTCCACACAACATAGCATAGTATATTTAGAAACAGTATTTTGCTGCTTTCGAACTGAGTACCAGTTTGAGGGTATTCAGTCTTTAGAAGACCATATGCCTTCCTATTCAGAATTCAGCCAGGATTGTGATTGGTGGCAAAAATGACTTTATGGGGTGTTTTAAACTAGCAGAAAACTTCTTGTGCTGTATTGTTTGTGTTGTGTGGTTTTTTTATTTGCTCTTACACTGGGTTCAGAATCTTTTCTCAGGTTTTAGTATGCACAGCCTTGAGTGATGTCAGCTTCCATTGAAGTCAGATTGTGATTATCCCACCAAGAATCAAATAGGGTTCTGATTGACTGCCTATGAAAACAGAAAAGTTTACATCAGGCTCTAGGTCAGTATTTGTTGCAGGAAAACAGTATGACTTTCTGTTCTCAAAGACTATGTATAAACTGTGGGTGTTGAGAATGTTTTCCATCTGCTGCCTGGATGTGCATCTTGGCCATGTTCTGGCTTCACACTGGGGCAAGACTCCATGCACATATCTGAAGTTCCACCAGCTCTCTGGGTTTCATGAGAAGAAAACTTAGATTAGCTAAGGGTTATGTTGTGGTCCAGCCAGGTTCTTGGTCTGGACTAGCGGGGACTGCAGGAGACACTGTAGAGCACATCTACCCCACATAACTCCAGATGTCTATTATATGTGTAACCAGATAAGTAAATTACCCTAGATTTCCAGGATTTTTCTTTATTAGAGGATAGCGGATTTTCCAAATTTACTGAAAGCAGGCTGTAGAACTGCAAATGATCCTGGGAACAAGAGATAAGTGCAAGTGCATGATGTTGGCTCAAGTACTTGACAGCCATCATCAAAACCAAATATCTAATTTTGTATGCTGTAATTACGGACTATTTGGTGATGCACATGTGGTTTTATTAGATTAGATTTCAGAAGAAGGACTTACATGAGATATAGGAGTTATGTTAGAAAAAAACACATTGAGTTATATTAAAATTAAGCCTTGGAGTCATTTCAGGTGAAATAAATTTCTGTGACTCAAAGAGTTTGCTCTAGGTGGTCCCTCAATTTTGGTGAGATATATTTTATCAGTTATCCTGCACAGCTGTTATTGAAGGTTCTACAGGTCTTCCAGTCTGAAGTTGTGATAAGTATATTTTTCGTGTCTTCTTTGGAGCTGGATACTCAGTGGTTTTGTCTGTTAAATCTGGAAGTAGCATAGGAAGGAGGAACTAGAGGAGAACCTCAGGACTAGACTGCTGAAAACTTAACCCCTTCTTGCTTATTTATCTGAGGAGTTCAGAATAATCAATGGCTTGAAAGTTAAACATTCTGATTCCTTGTAGGCAGAAGAGAGAATTGAAGTTGTGACACATTTCCTGGGCAGTATCTCTAATCACTGTGCTTTGTGTAAAATAGGAAATTGTATTTTATCATTGGCCATTTGTCCTTATGACCCAGACTCTGATCATATAGGGTCTGCAAGGTGGAATTTTTAGCTAAGTGCTCTTCACAGAGTTTCTCTATTTACTAGCTCCAGATAGCTGCATATTATTTCTGTTGCTTTTAGGCAGACTGTAGTTTTACTTGGGAATGTCATTAGATCCTAGTTTCAAGTAGCTGGTTTGGGTAATATTAAGTCATGGTGGAGGCAGTGGCCAGTCATAACACCCCCTACCTGGTACCTGCCTAGCAATACCTAACCTATGCAGTACATAGAACTGTAAGACCCAGCTCACTTTAGCCCCAGATACTGTTCTAGGGGACAAACACCTAAAAGTTAGTTGCTTTAACACCAGTTGTAGATGCCTGAGTGTTTTGTTTGATCTGGCCCTAGGGCATCAGATTAAAATTTTCTGTCTGCATCAATTTATATTTTTTTAGATTGACACCAACAGCAAATGAAGCCTGAATATCATGCTTACATTTTAAATTGAATATGTTATTTGAAGTGTTATGGGAAGGACACTCTCTTGTTGAAAATGTGCCTGGTGTTTTCTAAAACAAAAAAGAAAATATTCACCATGGTCACAAAAGAAACGAAACTGTTTCTTTCAGAAAACCTTTTTTAACTTCAATGTTGCTTGAAATTTCTTCATTAATTTTCAGATAATCAACAATTACTGCTTCTTGACTACTATGATAGCAGCAATTAAGGTATAACTTTATCAAATCCACATATTAAAAAGTCCCAGTCTTTCTTTCTCTTTTTATGTCCCCCTGTAGCGATGTGAGCAGTCTTGGACCTCTGGGTAATCTCTTATAAGACAGAATATTAAAATTAAAAAATATCCTTAATGGAAAATGGAAAATAATTTAAAGATTCCAAAGTTATAATTAGAATTTTAGTTTCCTGTTAGCAGTCATACATCAAAAAGAGAACTAATAACAAATATGTCATCCTATGTAGATATTCATTCTGCAATATCAGCAATAAATTCTTTTATAATATATATATAGTGCAAATATATATCCAGCATGTTTATACACATTCATAAATATAGAAACATATGTTTTATTTTTAAATATGAAAGTCTCAAAGGAAATTTTTGTATCAAGAAAGTTTGTCCTCAACCTGAGCTGTCCTCTAGCAAAGTCAGCAAATTATCCGGAACTTTGCTTAAATTCTGGTTTTGGTCTGTGTTAGGATTTTAGTTCTCTGAGAAAGCCCTTTCTTAAAGAGAGTTGTAACCAGCTGACCTACAGATGAGTTTTCATTCACAATTTTGCTGTCCAACTGCTTGTGTAAACATACTCTA